TCTGTATATCGTCACAATCGAAATTCTTAATGAGAATTTCATCTTTATCCATCCAATTATAATTATGATTTAGATGATGATGAGGATTTTGGTGTAACTCGTTACACATGACATGACCATTTTCCTCGAAAGCAAATAATAAATATTTATAGTAGTCTTCTTCGTTGATTTCACCGATTTTCTTGTGACGCCATTCACTTGATCGTGAGAAGCAATCAGCTGGGTGAGTGTCACCTTTGCTGTACTCAATTTTATAATCATATTGGGACATCAGCGATGCCCATCGGTGTAAACGTGCACATTTAAAATTAATTTTAGGTAAAGCACAAAGTGCACAGTGATCAGAGACGATCGTAAAACTTTTTCCACTTAAATAATGAGAGTATTTGTTAACTGCAACAATAACCGCCAAACACTCTTTCTCAGTTATTGTGTATGCCAATTGATATTTTGCAAGTTTCTGACCAAAATACGAAACTGCTCGCCATTCATTATTTTCCAGTTGAAGGAGTATTCCTCCAACGGCAATCGATGAAGCGTCAACCATCAGTTTATGTTGAGCCTCAGGTTTAAATTGAGATAATAAACAATCTTTGATTAGAGAATCTTTGATATGTTGCCAAGCCTTTTGATGATTTTTATTCCATTCGAATCGTCCTCTGTTCTTCTTTGAACAAAGTTCGAATAAAATCGAAGCGACTGTTGAATAATTCGGAATGAATTTTGAGAGGTAGTTAAAAAGTCCCAGTTGACTTTGAAGTCCCTTGACGTTTTTCGGAGGTTGAAATTCTTTCAATCTCTGAATTTTCTCAGGATCAGGGCGAACTGAATTTCCGCTGATTATATGACCAAGGAATTTTACCTCTTTGTGTCCCCATTTACATTTATCAGGTTGAACCTTTAGACCAATATCTTTTATTCTTGAGAAAACAGCATTTGCATTGTTGATTAGTTCTTCGAACGATTTTCCAAAGATGACAATGTCATCGATGTAAGCTAAACAAGCTTTGTAGAGTAGATTTCCAAAAACAGAATTGACGAATTGTTGGAAATAAGCAGGGGAATCAGCTAGACCCATGGGTAAACGAACATACTGGAATTTACCCATTTCAGTTACCAGAGCGACTTTTTCTCTTTCTTCGGGATTCAATTGAATCTGATGAAACCCTTGAGCAAAATCTATTGTGATGAAATATTCATAACCTGCCAAGGCCTGAATATGATCATCAATATTTGGCATAGGATATGATCTCGTTTTCATAATCGAATTCAATTCTTTGAATGAAGTTACCAATCGATAATCTTTACCACCAGGTTTTCTACCAGAGCGGGTGATCCACCGCATGAATTAGAAGGTTCGATGATATTATTTTGAATTAATTCTTTTATCTTCTTGTCCAAAATTTCTCTCTTTTTCGGGCCAAGTCGATAAGGATTACATTTAGGAATAGAATGATTACCAATATCGATTTTAATATTTACAGTTTCAGCTGGAATACAACCCAGGTCGTATTTGTGAGTAGAGAAAACGGATTTAAATTTGTTGAGAAAATTCATCATAGATGATTTTTGTTGCTGATTTAAATTAGTTGAAATGCCTTTAATTAATGTAGATTGAAGATCTGAGATTTCCTGTGGGAATTCATCTCTTCTCGTATCTAACTTTGCTTTTTTAATTTCATGAAGATATTGTTCATCTGATAAGAGGACATGATTATCATGTTGATTAAAATGGCTTGATTGTTGATTAAGATGATTTGATTGTTGATTAAATGGCGTTAATTTAAAAGTTGATTGTGGAAAATTTAAGTTAAAATTAGAAGAAGAATTTGATCGTTGATCAATTTGATTGATTTGATTAAAATGATTGTGACTAGAAGTTGAAGGTTGATGATAATTGTGAGATGATTGTAAATTGATTGTTGATTGATTTAATTGTTGATGATTTAAAGTTGATTGAGACATTTGTGAAGGTGAGTTTGAGGTTGAAGCGAATTGTGAGGTCGAATTTATGGACTGTGATTTGTTAATTATGCAGTTTGATGGGTAACAGGCCGGTCCATAGATCTTTGGGAATTGAGTGGTGAAGAGATGGTGGAACATTCAGGTCCGGGAATTTTCAAAGTAACTTTGAGTTCTTTACCAGATCTTGTAGGTTTCATCCCTAATAGGGTCAGCTTCCAGTGCAGTATTTGACCAGAACCAGAAATTTTTACCAAGAATCATTTCTAACGGTAACTCTTCTAATACAAAGACTCTTAATGGATCTAATTTGCTCGGGTTTTCCAATTGGAAAACCAATTGGGTAACACCAACCGCTCTCACAGGTTTATTTCTCCCTGATAACCCTAAAAACTCATGTTGACTTTGGTAGATAGGAATTTTCAATCGAATAGCTAAATCCTTTCTCATGAAGGTTGAGCCTGAGCCGGAATCAAGAAGAGCTTCAAGCTTAGCTATTTCAGGGTGATCTACATTTATAATTACTCTCGGTCTCATGTTAATCTGATTGTTGATAGCTTGTATCATACAATTAATATTAGTTTCAGCGGCTACTCTAGCCTGACAGTTTGCTGTTGTGTGACCATAGGTCGTACAAAGAGAACAGTAATTACTATTATTACTGTTTGTGTTACTATTACTATTTTCATTAGTGGGCTGTGGTTGATTATTCTGTTGAGGTTGAGGTCTATTTGATTGCTGATAGTTTGACCTTCCTCCTCGTCCTCTATAGTTCTGAGATCGACCTCTAGAAGGTCGTGAATTGTTAGGTGATGAAGAATTATTCTGCTCTTGGTTATACGTTGATTTTGATCGAGAATTTGTGGGAGTGCTTGATCGTTGCGATCGATTAGAACTGTCTTTATTAGGTGTATAACCAGAATTGAAATTGTTTGATTTTCTATTATTATTGTTATTGTTATTTTGATTCTGTCTCCGACTGTTCGGACTTGGGACATAATTTTCATCACAAGAACTATCTTTAATCTTATTACTGTAAATGATTAGAAATTTAGTTAATTTGTCTAGAGTGTTTACATTTGAATTATGCCTTAATGAAAAGCTTAATTCATTTGGAAGCAAATGAAGAATCAGAAAAATGATTCCTTTATCGGGAATCTTAGGTATTACTAACCTAGCAGTTTAGTGAGCTCAAAGACATAATCACTTGGATTAGTGCCTTTGACAAATTTTTGTTAAATAGCTTTTCTGTGGCTTCTACTTTTTTCGCCGACAAAACTTTCTCTGACTTGTTTAACTAATTTAGAAAATGAAATACTGGGATTGTTTTCATAATCTCATCAATAGCTTTATGAATATCATCAGTAACTTGAGCAAAGGGTTTTGATCGCAAGGTGATCAGAAAGCTCTAATAAGGCGACTCTTCTCTCTAATTTGTTGAGCCATTGGCAAAAAGTCAGTGACCCTTTTTCAATGTACTCCTCAATTACGGATTTAAATTTAAATCCATCAAGAATAGAAGGTGAATTAGGTCGAAACATTTGTTGAAAAAACGCAGGATTGAAAATTGATTGATTGAACATTTGATTTGAATTGATTGGCGTTTGATTAAAGGTTTTGATTATTTGATTTAGTATTATTTGGGAGTGAGAATGATAATTATGTGGCTCGTCATTGTCATCGTCATTGACTTGACCTTTATCATAATCATCATTCTGAGAGAAACACTCGAAATACCTTTTAATCTGCATTGATGTGAACTCTAATTCCTTAAGATAATCTTCAGAAAGATTCTTACCTTCATCAATAACGTCTTCTTTGATGAGCTTACGGAGATTCTCTTCAGTAATACCAGAGTTTAATTTGTGGTGAATTTGGACATTCCAGAAATTTATCATCAAAGGGAAAATTTTTATCAATGGGTGATGAGAAGGAAGAGAGGAGACCACAAATAAATGCTTGAGTTGTCATCGCTTCGCGAATGACCTTGGTGACATAGGCTTTACCTTGAGGTGAATATTTGAGGCCGTAGATTTCACATAATTTTTGTCGATTAGCATCATCGCTAATATAATCGCCGATTGTAGTTGATATGGACATAATTGATTGATTGAAGGTCCAATCGTGAATGTTGACTTGCTTGTGCGAATGAAAAAATTCAACAAGAGATTCGTTGAGATTTGGAACAGAAATCGCTGTTCTTATTGATGAGAAAATTTTTGAGTCGATTGATGAAAATAATTTTGAGTCTATTGATGATGTTGATGAGAACGAACGCTCCACTTTGTTAATTGTTTTTGATTGTAGCTAACGAGCACTTGGGAAACACACTAATTGCTAGTAAACACGTGGTAAGGAACACACTTTCACGCTACCTTTAGTAAAGATGATGATTACCACCACTTTCTAAAGTAATTACTCGTTTAAGTAATGAGGGATCTCCACCATTTGTAAGGTCTAATTAATTCACGGGGATGAGGTACAGGCACCCTTACAAAAATGCACCGATTATGATCGTACTGCAAAGCCTAACAATCAGTGAGAGGGTTCAGTAATTTACCTGATAGCCCTTTCGCTGAATAGCTTGACAATCAGTAAACAATAAATTAATTAAGGAAATTGTTTAATTGAAATAGTAACACTTTGTTGAGAATTGTAACATAGGAAACGGAAGTTTGAGAGAGAGAGGATAAGCTTTAACTTGAGGTTAAAGGTGAAGTTGAGAGTAGAAAAGTAAGAGATTAACTGTAGGTAAAGGTGTACAACAACTGATTGATGAGGAAAGGAAATGCTTAAGGTATTTATCCAGGTAGGGAAACATGATTGGTTACAAAGATTTAGACAGGATAAACAAATGTAATAATTAGTTAATTGTTGATGGAGAGAGAAAGTAATTAAGAGGGGAAAAGAGGCAATCGAAGCGTTTCCCTTACAAATATTAGTTAAAGTAATCAAAGATTAATAAATTAAATAATAATAATCATAACGATAATTGTAGTTATTTGATCAATTAAACAAACTTTCATCATCTGAATAAGTAATCAGAACTAAATTAAAAGTAATTCAGTTATTAACAAAGCAGAAATATAATTAACATTGAATTAAATGAACCAATAACGTGATTGATATTAATGGTCAGTAAATCAAATAGTAATCAAATTAGATTGTTAATTGTTGAGGATAAATTGGGAACAATCAGTAAGGCAATTAAAAGTGATTCAGTTAATCAATCACCTAAAGTTAACCAATTGTATTAATGATTAGCTGATTACTTTTGTAAAAATTTGATTCCTTGTCATCACTTTTATGATCAGAATCACAATTATGATTTAAACAATTTAAATCAGTTGATTATAACAATCAGTTACATCAAAGTGATGACCATTATTTATATGTGATATTATTAAACTAAAATCTATTGATAGTGATTAATGAATCATAATAAGATGAAAAGTAACAATCAAGTATTGATTGTTAATCAAAATCTTAATTTGATACAAATTAACATTTCTGGCCTTTGTCAGCATGATGATAATCATGATGATGATGATGATAACCTAGAGATGATCAAGATAATAATAATCATCATGATCAAGATGAAAATATCTCATTTTTTATCAACCAACTTTCTCAGTCTCTTGTTAACTATTAACTTTTTTTCACCTCAATCAATTGACATTAACTGTTAATCAAGTGATCATTAAATCATGATAATCAAGTGTAACATGAGATGATGATGAAGATGATGAAGATGAACAGAAAAAAAGAAGAAAAAAAATCACATTCGAAACTTTTTCAGACGAAAAAAAAGTTTCTAAAATTCTGATCTTTAAATCATTTGAATAAAATCATTTACTGATCATTTATTAGATAATTATGATCAACTTGATAATTAACTTTTCATAAAGTTCAAATTTTAATTGACTTCCATGAATCAATCATACGTAATCAGCTGATTATCCAATTAAATCATCATTGGATTGATTGTTCATTATCATGGGAATTATAATCAACGGAAATAAAAATCATTCGTTAATTTTAATCGTCACTATTTAAACCAAACCTTAATTTTGTTTTTCTTTTCTCTTGATTAGGAAGTTCAAATTAATAGAATTAAAAATTAATCATTACCCTGATCATCATCAAATCGAGTTGATTAGGATTGAGAAATTAAAATTGCGTGTCTTTTACATAATAAGAATTTAGTTCCAAGGTTTATAAACAATCTTATGATAACTTTGTTTCAATGATTGATGAATAGATCATATCATCATCATCATCATTTCGTTGAATTCATTTGCATGTTAATCTTTTCTCATTTTTCATGATAAATCGTAAGATGAACTTGAAAATTTGCACCAAATATGTGATAATGTTTCAAAATTCAAGGTTTTCCATATAATAAGTTGGAGGGAAAATGTTTCCATGATTCAATGAACTTTTCTTGAAGGTCAGTTGTTTGTTGGTTTGTTTATCCCATGAAAATGGCCATTGCTCTGGAAATAGTTACATGCATCAATAAACCATGTAATCAACAACATTCATCAACAATCATGATGATGAAATAATCAACAGCACAATTAAATTCCAATCAAAAAGAGAGAGAGAAAATGATTTGATTCAAATATGAAAAGAAATAAACAATTTCTCCTTTCAGTCTGATAGCTAATTACATCACCATATTGGTTAGTTGTTAAAGGGAACAATTAACTTTAATGACAATAAAACTGTTCAATTTAACCAGTAATCATATTAGCATTTAGATTGAATCAGATTAATTGATTTACCTGAAATTGAATGTTAAAAGTTAAATTGTTTTGTGGTTTTGTAAACAAAATAATCAGAACTTTTTTTTTCCTCATTAAGTTAAATTAGGTTTTCAATTGAATACATGGAAGTGTTTATGTTAACGGGAATCAATTTGAATTCAATTTATTTGAATTCACTATTTGTATCTATTGTTGTTGTTGTTGTTGCAAATTGTAATCAAATTTGTTCACAACAAGAGAAAATAGATTACAATTTAATGTTACGTAGCAATAAAGTTATATTAGGATGGAAAGGTAAAGGTGTAGATACGGAAGATGAACAGGTATTAGAAAATTGGGATAAATCTTTTCTTTTTCACCAAATCTCATGAATTGAAAGTTTCTTTTTTAAGAATATTGTGAGTCTTTCTCTCTTCTTAATCATCTATTAGGTAAAAAAGAAAAGGATGAATGATTATAATCATGATAATCATGATCTTTCAACGGAATTTACTATAACTTCCACTTTTATCTCCTTCCTTTTCAAAAGTAATTTGTATTTGAAAAGATATTTGGGTTTTATGGTTAGTATGATATCTACACACGTCTTATTATACCGATTGTGATACATTAACGGTACACGAATGTGAAAAGATAATTGTTACTGTAGGAACAACAATTAACTCATTTAGCACCAAAAACACAGACTGATTTACATTTGTTTCCAATGATGAATTGCACACAAGTGAAGGAAAAAAAACGAAATTCAGATGAAAGAATGGGACAAGAAGGACGATTCAACGGTTCTCCAATCCAATTGAACCAGAAGATTTTGACAATTCAACAGGATTTCAGTCTATTTCTCAATTGGCACGTTTACTATTGTCTTCTTTTTTCACTTTCTTTGTTAACACAACCACCACCAAGTAATCAAGAGAAAAAAAGTAGAGAAAATAATTGTTGATCATCAAGAGAGAGAAAAAAAAACCAGAAAACCAGGAAAACGATTCATGAAAACAAACATAATTTCCTACACAAAAATAAGATGGAGAAAAGAACAAAGAAGAGAAAGTGTTATTACGAAAATCAACAATTGATTCACTTTCATCGACAATTAACATAATAAACACTCTTACCTTAAATTGTTCATTGATTAAAACAATTTATTTATAATCCATTCTCGTTAAAGTCAAGAGGGAAAAAGAATTTGAAAAAAATAGAAAATTTTAAAACCAAAATGGCGATCACTTGATAAGAAGAAAACAAAAAGGTAAACAAACAATAAGAGTAAAAGAGTGAAAATAATCGGGAAATTAGTTAATTTCAAATTGAATTAAAGGTAAAATTAACTTAATTAGAAGTGAAATTAATTGGGAAAAAATTACAATTAAGATAAAAACAAAAAGAAAAAAATTAAAATTAGATATCAGATATTAGATAATTAATCGAATATCGATTAAAACGATTTCTATTGGCCAATTGATATCGACGAAGGGTTGATCTCCCTTAGTAACGAGATCGCCTCTTAATTTGGTTTGTTAATTGTTCATCTTGTGATTAGTTCTGTTAATTAATTAACAATATTTCCATTTAATTTTAAAGTGTCCACTGGTTGAAGATGTTCCTATTAATTACATGTAAGTGTAATAATTAAAGTGAATCGTTAACTGGTTTAAATCTTTGGTTTAACTTCAACACTTTTTCATTTCTCTCTCTCATTCTTGTTAAAATCTCTTTCTGTTCATCTCTCTTATTTTACTGTCTATTTTTTTTCAGTTACTTTTCTTCATCTTCTTCTCATCATCAATAACAACTCACTTCATTTTTATCATCATCATCTTCATCTTCTGAAAAACTTCTTTATATAATTTCTCATTCTATCAGAATTTGTTCAACAGACTGAGTACCTGTTTGAAATCGCATGTTATATGTAAGGAGAAAAAGAGAAAATTCTTTTTTTTTTCATATTCTTTTTTCCATCTTCTCTTGTTCACTCCTTTTCTAACCTTCTTTTCTCTGAGTATTTTTTTTCTAATCCTTTTTTTATCCTTTCTTTTCTTCCTTTACAGTCTCTTATCATCATCATCATCATCGTTGGTATTTAGTATCAGTCCATTGAATTGTCAATGCAATCAAGTGTATCATGTTTCGTTGCTGATTCTGTTTTTGTTTTTCTGCAAACATGTTTTCCATTCAACTTGCATCTCCAGTTGGCTCTTTGACTGCTTGTCACAGGAATCAAACCTTATTGTTATCCTAGAGAACAAGGTTACATCAGATTAGCTTATTAATATATTCTAACTCTTGATAATCCCAATTTCCATTAATTGTTAATCTTTCAGTGGATTAACTCAATCCATCCTCTCGAAAATCCGCTTTTCCCTTCTCCCCCTCACTCCCTCGTTCTCTCTTTTTCTCTTTCTACCCCAATTATTTTACGTTTGTATCAATTCATTTAATTACAATCAGTAGTCACTAGCAGTCGTTTTCGTCCTCGAAGCTCAAGTAAAAGAAAAGAGGTAGATTAATGATTCTGATTGTTATCATTTAAATCTTATCATTAACTTGTATCAGTTTTTGTGTTCTTGTTATAACTTTTTTTTTTGTTTTATCATTATCTTAATCATCATTTCATATTATACAATTAACAATTGTAATACTTTTTTTTCCTCCTCCTCTATCATCATCTTTATCTTCCTCCTTCCTATTATCTCCCTCATTCGCTTTTCCCTCTATTTCTGAACAACATCAACAGTAAAATGGGAGGTGATTTATTCATTTGCTGATTTTTGTGAAAGTTTCAATCCCGATTCTCAATGAATGTTTCATTCTGACGATTGTCAACAAACTGTCAACATTAATTCATTCTCTTCGTTATTATTATGATTTACTTTATAATTATGTGAATTTAATAGTGTCCTTTTCTTAATATTCATCCATCAGATTGTCATCAACTGTCATCTAATTTCATATTGTGGATCCACCGCCATTGGGAAAAGATTATTTCTGAAAACAACCGGAAATAACCTTGTTCATTGATTGATAAACCATAACTGGATTTACTGCTGATTTATCATCAATTTGAACTTGATTTATTGTGTGTGACTATGACATTGAATTATTATCAGCAAATGACATTTACCCAATAACATGACCAACTTATACAATGGCTGTTGATTGGTAGTGATTACTGTTGATTACCTTTGATTGATTTCGTTCAAAAATAACTAAATTGTTAAATAGACACAATTAAAACCAGAGAAAAGTTAAATTGGATAATTTTTGTTTCTTTTCAACAACAATCATCAATAAACAAACCAAATAAGGTAAGTTAATAAACTTATATTTAATAATGGTTAATTATTTGAGTTAGAGTTAACTTTATTCACAACATGAAGTCAATATATTTATTTTCTGATCTGATCAGTAGTTTTTGAGTTAGTTAAATCAGGTCACTTTTCTCAGCAACGATGAGTTTTAGATCATGAAATTTTATTTATCGACAACTTTCATGTTACAGAAAATTAAATTTGTTAATACTTCACAATTGTTGTATTTAAATAATACATTAGTCAAATGAGAATGATCTGAAACTTATTTTGACATAGTATTATCGTGATAGCACTTTTTCATTTGATCAACAGTTTTACCGGAAACTTGATCTTCAACAATATCTAAACCAAATACTTGAGATGTCTGAATAATTCAAATAATCGTCATTTAACCGAGGCTAATCAAGTTTTTGGCCTTAAATACAGTCACTTTTCAAAATAGTTTGACAATGTTTGAATATATTTTATCGAGCAAGCATAAAACATTTGGGTGTTTATAATTGAGTGTAGTATAACTTTAATTAACTTTAGTCTCAGCTAGACCATCACTTTTAAGGCCAAAAACTATTGTCTGATAGCCTGGTTAAATGACGATTATTTGAATTATTCAGACATCTCCAAGTATTTTAGTTTCGAGATATTACCTGAAGATCAAAGGCCACTTTCTCATTCGGTAAAACTGTTGATCAAAAAAGTGCTCGATCACGATGTTAACCCATACTAGATAGCCTCAAAATAAGTTTCAGATCATTCTCGACATTGACTAATGTCCATTTATTTAAATACAACAATTGTACCAGAATGATATTTTTAACAAACAATTAATCTGTAACATGAAAAGTTGTCGATAAATAAAATTTCATGATCTAAAACTATCGTTGTTGAGAAAAGTGATGAAGTTTAACTGAACTCGATTTCTACTACTGCTCAGATCGGAAAAATAAATATTTGGATCATTCTACAAATGAAAGTTTCAACTTAACTCAAACTAAAATTCATGACCATCCTCCTTATAATAATAACATTCACACCGATCAGTCTTTGATTAACACAACTTTGATTAGTAAATTGTAATAAAACAATTTAGATATCCTTTATTATAAAAAAAAATCTTTATTACTCTCAGTGTATCAGCAAATCACTATCAATTACAGGAAACTATTTACAATAACAGTAATCATTCAATCAATCAATATAACAAATCTAATATTTTGTGTACAATTTACTAATCAACTTTTTTTTCCTTCAAAAAATTGACAATAATTAACGCGACAATTAGTTCAACTTAAAGGTCAATTCATTTAAGTCAAGGTAAAATTTTGATGAAAATAAATTGACTTTTTGTTCCAACTAATCAGTGAAACAATTAATCAATTATCAAACTAAATGAATGATAATTACAATTAATAAAAGTTTTCACAATTATCTTTACCGTTTTTGATAATAAATATCTTATTAAATATGAATGATACTTAAGAAAAAATGATTTAAGGTTACATGTAATGCTTATCTTTTTACTCGATGGTTCAATGGCCATTTCAATTGGAATGATCATAATGATCTATTGATTGTGTGTATTTGATGATGATAATCATAATCATAATGATGTTGATCAGGTCAAAGGCGGAAATCAATGTTGACGTATCACCCTCCAGGTAAACGATGACAGAGTTTAACAAGTAAAAACAACAACAGAAATCAAAGCCTTAACCTTTGATTGACTCAAGGCTAATTTCTTATTCTTCTTATTCCTTTCCGTTGATAATTCAAGTTTTCATTTTCATCCTCATCATTATAATGCTCATCTTCATAGTTACCTGTTGATTACTCAGTCTTTAATATTTTATGATGATGAACAAGAAGATAATAGTTGATAATGATTCTCAAGAAAAAGAAAAAATCTCAATGTTTACCTGGTGTTAGCCTCAGGGTAATTACATGTACCTCTTTCACTTAACCGCTACCTCTCTCTCTCTCTTCTCTGTGCAAATTCAGTAATTATCTTCATCATCATTAACATTACTTCATTGTTATCAGATTGTAAGTGAACCCATAAAATGTATAACATGAACTAACATTTTTCAACGTTCTATTCATAAGCAAAACACTTCAGTTGAAAGTTTCTGTTAACTTGATTGTTAGTTAATTTCTTTAACTAGTTCAATGTTACAATTAATTCTGGTTAACTATTTACATAATATCTATTATTATTACCACTATTATTCTATTAACCCTTTTTACTTGCTATCACTTGATCATATTGATATCATTTAAATTGTTATTATCCCATTATCCTCATGATTATCATTGGAAAAACTTGTTGATCACAATAATGAACTTTTAATGATTACTATTAACATTTAAATATACTTTTTCTACTGTTGTTATATCTTCATGTTTAACTAATTCACATTTAATAAATTGCATTCATTGTAAATTGTAAAATCCTTTTGGCTGATCATTTCAATGTTTATCTAAATCATTACAATAATAATAACTGTATTTACCTAATGATTTAATATATTATTTGAAATGATGAAAAGAAATTTTCTTTTACAATAGTTAATGGAATCAGATTAATCAATCATTTGTTACTATCCAAATATTAATAGTTTAATCAACAATCATCAAATAGTCATTCAATTTACTGCTCTACAAATAATTCAAGTCAATTTGATTTGATTACAATGGCTTTTGATTAGATGGGAAGATGATTAAGGTTCCAATAATGTTAATTAGTCTAATTTAAATTTTCCCTCTCTTTGTTTCTTTCCATTATGATTAATATGTATTACTTACTTTGGGCTCGGTTATTATAATTAATAAGATATTAATTGTTATTAATCATGATACTTGATTCGGAATGAAAATATATATAAGAAAAATTGTCTAATACTATACGAATGGTTAATTGTTATTTAAATCAGTTTGAAAAGGAAAAACATTTTAAATTGTTAAGGGTTGATTATCGTTCTGATTAATGTATTTAATGTTTTTTAAGATTAAGTCTTAATAATTAAGATATGGTTTTTGATTAGGATGATTAAAACAAAACAGTTAAGGTGAATCCTTTTGATTATAATTGTTACCTTGATTATATTAATCAAATCATTATTTTCGCTTAATATTAACCTTTTTGAAATATAAAACTAAATTGTTGAAACCTAACGACGATTATAATTACACTGATTACAATTATCACAATCTAAGTGGTTGGAATTATTAAATTGTTGGAAGAAGAGTTGAATTAATTGCAATATTTTCTTGATTTTTTCCCTTTGCAATAAGTACCTTTAATGGTTTAATCATTAATTATTTACTTAATTGTAATATGATCATTGGTATTACTTATTTTTATCCTCAATGGATTGATTACAGGTAAACATAATTCAATACTATTAATCATAATAATTTAATTGCCATTGAAAGAAAGTCAATTGTTGAAATAAATCGTTGCAACAATCAGAATTTAGTTCCAATCGACTCTGATCAGAATAGTTTTCTTTTAATTATGATCTAGACCTTGTTACGAATGAAAAATTTATTTGATTGCTAATTCATTTCTACAGTTGATCTAATTATATTTTTCATTCTAATCATTTAAAAAGTTCCAATGTGAGTTATTCATTGTTCAGCAATTACCTTAATTGATTGATTGAGAGACTGTACTAGTTTTCTAGTATGAACAGACTTTAATTGTTTCTAATTGGAGTAATTATTACAGCCTAAATATGATAATAGTTGTCTGATCAATTCTTAATGAGCAAGCAAAAAATGAGATACTAAAGCATTTTAATTGTTCCCAAATTGATGATCTACATTTGAATATGATTAAATATCCATTGAAATGAGAGAGACCAAGATCATCCTGAAGATGAAGATGACGATGATGATGATGAGAGTTTTTATTATTAATTCCTGAATCCACTAGAAGATAATCAGGTCATGGAATTGACCATAATTGTAATTAACTATCATGATGATTATTTAATTTCAATGAATCTATCCCTGAAACTTTGATTGAGGTTAACCAAAGTTGCTTACTAATCATCATGAATGAAAATGATTGGGCTTAATTGTGATTACAGTCTTTTTCCTCCGAATTCACCTTCTTTCTCTTTATAAATAAACCATTTTTCATTAGAATTAATTTTCCTCCAGGGCTGAAGAGGTTTAATCTCTGTTTTTCTCACTAGAATTGACCCTTTTCTCTTTCTAAATAAACTTTTTTTCAAAGGAATAATTTTCAATTCTAATTGTTTAGCAAAACACCAGAAAGAAAATTAATCATCGAAGGTTTTGAAGAAAATTATCGAAGTTGTAGAATTCGCTTCAGAAATGATTATATCGAAAGATAGTGAAAATCAGTACAATCACATGAAGAGATATATCCCTGATTGTATTAGTAAAAACATATTGATAATTAATTCAAATGAAAAAAAGTTTAATTATAATGAGAAAAAATGAATTGTTTTGAAAATAAAGAGATTAACTCTGATTCTCGGACCAGATTAAGTTTTTTTCTTCTGTAAAATAGTTTAACTCTAAAGAGAAAGAAGGTAAATCCGAAGGAAAAAGACTGTAAAGTGAAAGTAACTGTGCTAATCAACTAGATTTTTTTGAAATATCATAATTAATGAATCGTTAATAAGCTTTTACCAATTTTACCTTTTATTAAGCTGTTAATCATTGAATTTATTGCTTCATATTCACAAGGATAATCGCTTATTGATTCAGTTTAAATTGTCAACAGTGTAAATAGTTAACTGATTGTTACTTTTAATTTGATTCTTAGTTTTTACATCGTAAATCCTTAAGTGATATCATCAATCATCATTCATATTTTGATAAAGATGCTGATGAAGATGAAGATGATTTTAATCTTCAAAGGTGAATCTAATTGAATATAATAGTAAAAATAACGGGAAAGGCAAAAATGATGATTTAGCTGATAATCAATCGTTTTTACAGAAATTAACTTTAATTGCCTAATCACTAGCCTTTGATTCATCATCTTCATCTTCATCTTCTTCCTCCTTTTCAATTATACCAAAATCTCTTCCAATATCTTCCTGTTTACCTTTTATTTCCCGATATTATTTATTGATTGTTGTATGGTAACAATTTTTGATTAGTTACCTGTTGATGACAATCAAAATTTTGATCATAAAACTATTACAATTTTGATTATGATGAAAACTATCATATTTCATTGTCCAGTTATCATTAGACTAAGGTTAGTTTAATTTTATTGAAACTATTGTGTATCATTTAAACAATTGTTTTGTATAATCCTTGACAATTGAACAACAATTAAATTTAATCTGGTTCTATCTCTAGTCATCTTGGTATTATGTTCAAGTCTTTTTAGTATCTTTCTCGTTTAAAGGAGAAAACAAAAGTCAACAATGAAGGTTTAACTGTTTGACAAGCAAGAATTATGTTACAATCAAATTAATTGTAACCCTCACAAACTCAGACAATCAATAATAATCATCTAGAACAATTTATCTCTTCAGGCAATGAATTGAATTTCAATTTCATTTGTTGTTATTCAAAGTAAAACAAAACAATCTATTCAAGTATTTCTCGGTCAAGGAAATAATATCATGATAATCAGCATGATGATGATGAAGAAGAGGTTATAATCATTTCATTGATTAAATTAACTAATTAACTGTAATTCAATTGAGGAGAAAGTTTTGAATTTTAAATGTTTCTCTCCCTCTCTCGCTTATGTCCAACAAAATTTGATTAGATTGAAACAATTTGAATTGATTAGCGTTTAAATTGGCTGAATAAATTTTGATTAACTTGATGATTTTGATACGACATTCATGATAATTTTTATCAGAAACTTTTCGGTTATCACAATTAACCACAATTAACACTCATAAAACTTTTACACATTGGTGACAATTAACATCTAATATATTGAATGGATAGTTGATTCGTTTGCTTTAACAATCAATTGTCAAAATGGAGGAAGTTACAATTAGATAATTATTATACTATTAGAAGAGGGGAAGATGATGATAATAAGATGAGATTGAAAGGAAAATAGACAGAGAAGATAAAAGCAGAAAGAGAGGAAAGAGTGAGAAGTGTGAGTGAGACGCATGATACATTTTCGTCCTTGAATATTTATTATTACGTTGGAAGCGAGTTACCTTGTTTGTTGTTAGTTAATTGTGAGACTTTGTCAGTTGATTGTTGTTGTTATGTTTAATATTGATTGTAACCAATAACCAATTTTATCAACTTACAACCTAATCAAATCTTAATCCGGTCAACATTTTTACACTCTTATTAATATCCTCAATGTTACCTTTCTGTTTGGAATCATTGAGATTTTTTTTTAATCCCAATTTGTGTCTTCATTTGATTGTCAAACTAAATTAACCAATTAACTTTGGATTTTTACATCATTAAGATTTTTTAATCTGATGGGTTTTCTTTCAATTGACTTTATCAATAGAAAACTTGAAGTGAAGTTTTATCAATCATCTTACAATTTATTTCATCATTACCTGTGATTATCAATCAGATTACTGTGATCGTGAATCTTGAATATATTAATTTGCTGATGATTGTCAAATGTCAACAAAAAATCATATCTCACTGATTGTAATCACTTTAAAATAATAATAATCATCATCGGCCTAACAACAATAGCAAGTTTACAAACTACAACAAACTTTAAAATCATGAATCCAATTGGATTTCAAGGTAAATTAAATTATCTTCATTATTATTATCGCCATTGTAATTATTAGACTTTAAATTTTCGTTATTATTTTCACAATGCTTAACCATAACGCGAAATTAATTATTAATTGTAATCATAAAATGGTAATTTACTTTGGTAACAATTTAATCAAGGTTGTTTAACCAGAGAGTATTTTGTTTGTGTTCATGTTTTAATCATTTCCAATACACAATTAACAATTAACTTTACTATTTTTCGTTACTAAATAATTGTAAACATTTGATTGTAATCGTAACTAAATCAAAAGGGTCAAATTTAGTTTTAATCAATCAAAATTTTAGTTATTTTTTTCCTGGATTCATTAAGATGTGATTTTGACTTTGTTTTCATTGATTGCTGTTGATCTCAATGATTGTTAATCAAAATGTTTACCTTGATTTGAAACGTTTTTTTTTTGTTTTTTACTCACTTTGTTATGTAATATTATGTTATTGATATACAATAATTATATTGCAATTAATTAACTTTTCTTGCTTGATTATTTTGTTGTTATTATTTTGTAAAAAACTCATCAATCAAGGTCGTCATCATTATTAACATGATTACATTTGATGTCCATTTATTATTATTAAAGGTTCAACTTTCACCAGGTCATCATGATCGGTAGTTGAGTGGTAGTAATCAAGTATGAAAATTCAATGATAATCATCTGAACAATTTGATTCTTGTAATTTAACTTTTCCATTTCGTCTTCTCCATCATTTTGGCACGTTCCTATTACTCAACTCGTGCTGAGCTTTAGGCGTTCTTGGTTGGCACCTCTCTCTCTCTCAGTTAGTTAGTTGATTGTCCTTGATCAAGTCCGTCAATTTGACAGATTAAACCATCATCAATATTTTAATAAATAAAAAACCCACAGCGTATTAATTCAAATCAATAATAAACAGATAACATAGTAATAAAAACTATGTTACCGTGTCAATAACAGGCTTCAATTGAGAAATTGAAACAACAACAACAATTGAACAACAATTTAACCTTAACATTTTTATTATCTGACGATATGAAAACAATAATCAATTACAACCATGATCAATAAAACACAATCATCAACATGGTTATCATGAATTTTAATCACAATTTATATCATCATTTTAATTGTTAACTCTTATTAATAATTTTCTGAGCTTTTCCATTTTTATTTTCATGTGTTCATTACCCATTATCATGAAAATTAATCATGTATAATATGCTAATTTATACCTGTGATTAAAATACATAAACAAAATTAATCTATTCTGATTCTAATTATATGATAAACAATGTGACAAGTTGATTTACAATGTTAACAATTATCTGATTTAATCTAAATCCTTTCAGATATTACCTATTGAATGTATTCATTGTTGATTATTAAACCAAATGATGAGAGATCAATATTATCATATTGATTATATTTATATAAAGATTAACCATCATGTTAATAATATCATTTATATACAACTATTACATTTAATCAAAGATAAGTCTCTTATAAGTATATCATGTTTATCGTCATGATGATTATCATCATTATCATGGTTAACGTTGATTACTGTTACTTTAATAGTTAATTACTGGTAATGGTATCCAATTGTATTTATCCGCTTACCCAAATGATGATAAATGATTAAACTATTGAACAATTTAATAAGATGTTGATCCTTTTTTTTCACCATGTAGATATTTAAACAGAAAGTTGATCAACAATAATGAGCGGGAACAAGTTTCAACGATAATCGTAATAATTTAGATGATTATTGTTGATGTTTATTTTTACCTTATCATTTGGCTTACATTTTAAATCCTTAAAACAAATCGTTGATAGTTTTATAATAGAAATGTATTAAAACTGATTGTAAACATGATACCATTAAAATGAAAAGCTTAGCCTTTTACCTTTTCATCTGAGGGAAGAAAGAGAAATATATGATTCTCTTTCTTTTATCCTTATTTGATGTTCATCTTTATCATCATCATCAGAATCAGTATCTTCCTCTTCATCTTTTTCCAAAAAAGCATCAACAGTGTGAAAGATAATGGTTACGGATAACTCGGTGAGATGCCTTAAAGATTAACTTAAGATTAATGAGGTTAACATATTAAAATGAATTTGTTGTTTTCTTTTTTTCTTCTTGATTGTGACCATGTTTCTTCAACTTGGAATATGATGAATTTATCATCATCAGGCCTGAATAATGATGAAGATAAGATTAAGGATTAAGATTAGAGGATAAAAAGATTCAACAACAATTGATTGTTGTGCTTTTGTATTGTTTGTAAAGTTGAAGCAATTAAACAAGTGAAAAATAATATTATATTTGTCCAATCATTTGTTTATCTTACCTGTTAATCCTTGACCACAATAACTGACCAAGGGTTTTTGGGACTAATCATCTGAATCTTTTTTTTTGTAACAAGTAAAGATGATTAATTGTTTGGAAACCGTGTAATCGGTAACTTGTTGATTTATTGATTATTATTGTCATTCCCTTAATCTTTCAACAGAATTCAATGTTTGCCCATAATGATGATTGAAAATAAATGAAAAATATTGAGGAAATTGAGATAAACATGGAGGCAATTGAGTTGAATTTTTTTTAAATGAGCAAATAAATGATTAAGAAAAGGAGAAAAAAAAGTTAATCATCATCATGATTACAGTTCCGTTCTTCATCTACTTAATCATTTCAATAATTTTCCACTGAATCAACGACATCACAATCAATTGCATGCTGAGTTATTAGTCTTGATTACTGCACCTCTTTTTCCTTGATATTGCAAAATTTTGGTGCTACTTTGGTTCTTGTTGGGATGATGATGATTATGTTGATCATCATGGTGTTGGTTCCTTCATGAAATGTATTAACTTTTGCTTATTAGTTTGTTTTTATTGCCTTTTCATTTAGTTTCTAGTTTAACAACGCCTTGGTTTTTTACCTTGATTACTTTGAATTTACCTGAACTAATACAGATTCTCATCTTATTATCATATAATTTTAATCATCTTCATCATTATTATCAATGTCAATTACTGCACACCTTTTATCTGTTCATCTTTAGTTGATTCCTTACATTGATTAACAGTTTTCGGGTTCATCTCAACAACAACAAAAAACAGCAAATAATCAGTTGATTGCGTAGGTAAGACAATAGTTTTATAAAATCACTATCAATATAAAAATCATCTCAATATTTTCCTATTATCTTCATAGACCCAAATGTTACTAATCCTTAATCGGTTGATCCGCTTTTGATTGTACTTTTCACAAAAGCACCACTCAAACTTAATGATGGTTGTAAAATAACAGAAGCTGATTCTTGATTAAACAAACGTTTTGTTGATTTAGTTAATCACTTTCTCCTTTTTTTTTAATTGTGCTGTTTTTTGCCTCTACACTCATTCTTGGATTTGTAATGTTTTCCTTTGACACAACGGGTCCAAAATGGTGCCAACGAGTCAGGCGTAAGTTGTTGTTGTTGTTGTTTATACCTGTCGAATTTGGGAAAAAAGAAAGGAAAATTGAGAGTATTAATGATATGAACGATACGAAGAAAAGTGAAAGTTTATTAAGTTGTGATGAAAAAATGAGCGATTCGATTAAACCTACTCAAGGGAAGAAAAAGTTAATTGTGAAATGAATAGTCGATGGTGAGTTTAATCATTAACCGTGAAAGGTTATCACAATTGTTGCAATTTGTTGTTATTGTTACTCTTGTTGATGATAATTGATATATCCAGCAAATTAAACACACATGACGTTCATTTTGAAACTGTGTAAATAAATGAGCACAAAAAAATGAACAAATTAATAGGATGTTATGGTAGAGTGAAGTTTTTTCAGATCGTTTTTTGATTACTGTTTGTTGGAAATTGATTGTTCAATTGATAATAATAAATTAAAACTTGATTATATCAGCTGATTGTTATTGTTGTTTCAATTGTAAACATTTCTATGTATTCATAACCCTCACTTTTTGAGTACGTTTCATGTAATTGTTTGAATTTTCATTCTGAATATACTTTCAATCATAACTTTGGTTATAATTATGAAGAAAAAAATTTCATTATTAACAATTTGATTATCTAACTGATTAATGTGAATTTTTTTCGTATCTATTAATAATTTTTATTCTGTACTCTGATTGATAATTAACTAATTATATTATATCAAACCTTTGATTAAATTGTTACCAATTAAACAATTTGTTATTAGGTGAGCTATTGAAACTGAATTGACAATAGACGATCATTGATTAGCTAATTGATTGTAATGATTAATTGTTAAGAATAAGTAATTTTTAGATCACAAGTAAACACTTAAAATGGATCTTGATGGTTAATTGTTATTTGTAAATGATTAGAAAATGAATTAATAGAAATGATTAAAAGAGTTAATTAGATTAATCAACAATAGAATGGGTGTTAATTGTTGTGATAGAGAAACGAAAAGAAAGAGAGCAATTTAAACACAGGTAAATCGTTTAATCTTCTAATTTGATTACAATCAAATTAATGGCAGTTATTGTTAACCAGTTCATAGGGAGATTAATTAAAGGGAAATCAATTGACAATGATCATGAGAGAGACAGAGAAATGAAAGGGAAAAAGTAAGAGAAATGTCGATGATGATGATTAGATAGAGAGTGAGACGAAAAAAACACCAATGAGTGTCCATTGTTTTCCAAGTTAACAAGGTTACCTTGTAATTCAATTGAAAAGGTTAACAACAACAATCAACATCATCCTCATCTTTTCATCATCACTTTTCATCTGCATCACTTTTTTTCACCTCTGGTCATTTAATTTCAAAGTGAATCTGATTTGCTCCCTCAGGTTGTTTATCTTCATTTTTTTGCGATTCTCTCGCTCTCTTGTTGCTCATTAATTCCCCTTTGATTGTTGTTGTTAATTTTTAATCAATCTGATCATTAATTGTAATTAATTTGTTCAATGTTTAAGTGAAAGTGCATCTTATCAAAATTCTTGAAAGGTGACAGCATCTATGAGAAGAAGAGAAAATCAATATTCTTTGATAAGTTATTATTCTGTGTAAATAGTAGTATCATCATCATCATCATCATCGTAATTATTATTAATTAAATCACAAATTATCAACTTTCGGGTATGACCTCAACTTTTTACAACGGCGCAGCCGATCAATGCAAAGAGTATCTATTTAAAATATTGGTTATCGGGGAAATCGCCTCTGGTAAAACATCATTTGTTAAACGATATGTTCACAAATTGTTCTCGACTAATTACCGATCAACTATTGGTGTTGATTTTGCTCTTAAAGCGGTTAAATGGAGTGACGATAAGATTGTTCGAATACAATTATGGGACATAGCTGGACAAGAGCGTTTCGGTAATATGACCCGAGTCTATTATAAAGAAGCAGTTGGTGCATTTATCGTTTGTGATGTCACCCGAAAACAAACACTCGATGCTATTCCCAAATGGAAAGCCGACCTCGATTCAAAGGTAACCCTTTCTGATGGGTCAAGAGTACCCACCGTCCTTTTATTGAACAAATGTGACATGGATAAAGGAGAATGGGCTCAGGATACCGTTTTTTTGGACTCCTTTTGTCGGGATCATGGGATTGAGGGTTGGTTTTACACTTCGGCCAAAGAAAATATAAACATTGATGAAGCGGCTCAATTTTTGATAACATTGATCATGCAAAAACAGAGTTCCCTTGACAGGGATGATAATTTTAACGAAAGTATCAAAATAACCCGACAAGATGATATTCAGACAAAAAAGTCATGCTGTTGACCCACAATACCCACAGTGACCATTGTCCATCTTCACCCAGTTACCTTTTTGTTTTTAAACTACAATCAGCTTATAAAATATACAATATGTTGAGCGTTCGAAATGGTCATTTCCGTTTATCTAATTCGAATCTTCATCATAATGACCTTACTCTCTCTCTCTCTCTCTCTCTCTCTCTACTTGTTTTACTTTAATAATCATTTAATTATCATATCTCCTTTTTCACCTTCGCCATTGTTATTGATGTTTCTCCCTTTAGTTTTTCACCATAACGTCTTCCTCTTTATATTCAGAACATTGTGTTACATTATCATTAAAAAGGAAACATGAATTAAGATAATCAATTAATAGATTGTCCAAAATTAATGGTTACCTGATTATGGAGAGAAAGTGAAAAATTGAGATCATTTTCTCTTTTTATTGTCTAATCAACCTGAAGATTTCATGAGAATCTATTGTTCATCTTTCTTCACTTTTACTTCAATTTATTTGAACAATTAACTTGATTGTCAGTTAAATGTCGATTGTTTCATTTAATTTAGACTTAATTGTGACTCTTATCAGCACCAATATGGTTGATTTGTTGTTATAATTATCTAATTCTTGGTGTATTCACATTCAATATGCTTTTAATTAGTTTTATCTTTTGTCTCTCTTTCCATTCATTAGTTGTTTTATCAATGATCAATGAAGGTGCTTCTTGATTTCGTTTGTTTCAATTTCTCATCTTCTTTGCTGTTACTCCATCATTTTGGTGTATCTTGTATGTGACTTTTGTATTTTCTGATCAAATGCTTATCTTATATTTCTTGTGTTATGTTTCATTGATTGTTACTAATTCTGGTTGAGTGTTTGATCATCATGTGTATCTGATTAATCAACAATCTAAGTTACAATCCGTTTGTACTGAAAGAGAAAATGAATTAATCTCTTTCTACTCTCTTTCCAACCAGATTGAAAAGGGATAACCATGTAATCCAATCGTTTAGCTAATTCTTCAATTAATCTACTTATAACTACTAGTTTAATATCTCTCTCTCTCTCTTGTGCCTGTATAATGTATCAAAATCAGAGACCAAAAACCAAATGAAATAATGATAATGATGATGAAAGAAAAACCAAAATTCAATGATGCGGATTGTATTATTATCCATTTCAAATGATGAGTTTCTTTACTCTTATATCCTGATTATCAACCTCACATGATGATTACTACTCATTCAGAATGAAGTTTATTATATTTACCATCATCATGTAAGCTAATCTATTACAACACGTTTTCTTGATTATCAAATTGATGACTTTGTATATAAATGATAATTAATCAACTTGGAGGGTCTTGATACTGTTGCTAATAATCAAAATATTCATTGGCTCGACATTATTGATATTAATTATTATTATTAATTTTAGTTGAACAAATTAAAACTTACTGACAGAATTAGCGTGATTATCATGAAATGAAACTTTCTAAAGTTAGATAATGATGATAATTGTCATATTCTGAATTCATCTTGATCAAAAGATCCAAAGTGTTTCCATTAATCTAATGTCAATCAACTTAAACCAACACTCTAACCTGTATTACTTTTTTTAATGTACTCTAACTGTGATCGTATTACCAGTTAATTGTGTCAAAATTGTCCTCAATAGTTATCATAATTATCATAATATAGTTAATTGAGGAGCCTTACCTTACCTTTCTGGTGAATAATTTATAATAAATCAAGTGATAAATTAGCAACGATGGCGAGAGAGGCGAAGTCAAAATTAGACGAACCTGAACTGATTTTGATTATCGCGAAATGAGGATGATTATTAATTGGAAAATAGCAATATAATGGAAACGTAAATCAAGATTTGACCAACAGTTGATTCCACAATTAAAGTTATCTCCAAGTGATTAAGCTTCTGGCCACAGTTGATTATTATTATTATTGGGATAGTTTGAATTCTGTTAACTTGTCAAGATAATTAGGATACTTCGGAAGCTGATTGTTTCTTAATTATCATCATCATCTTTTTTCTCCTCATTCTCTTTCAGAATGAGTATACGTTTGAACTGATTTTCCATTCTCAATAATAAGTGAGAAGAAATTATTACAGACTCACCCATAAGATTTTAACCATAAATCTTTAACTCTACTCCAAGTGATGATGATTCGAAATATTTTGATGGTTAATCATCATCAGAATTAATGGTTGGTTAATATCATTCTCATCTCTGTAGACATTAAATCAGCTCTCCCTCTCTCTCTTCATCTATTCTTCATCTCTTCCCACTTGATGAAGATGATGATTTATCTCATATTTTATATTTTCCTTTTTTATTGATTAGTTTGACAGAAAAAAATCTTTTCCTTCATGAGACTAACTCTTTTTTTATTCCTATTTCTCAGTGACATTGACCTTCCACCAACAACGGTGTGAGAAGTGTTATTGTTATTGATGCATCGAAGAAGAAGATAAGTTTAATGATGATGATGTTTTGATGAACATGAGGGAAAAAAGATTATTTGAATTTCCCGAATGACCCTTACAACTATTGTGTTGAAGTGTCAAAAAGTCAAGAAGCAGAACCAAAAATTGAGACCTGGAGAGAGAAAGAAAAAAAAAGTTCTAAACAAGAGTAACTACTGTTTGACCATCAAAAATGAGAGATGACCAGAAGAAGAACCATAAATAGTGTTAACATTACGATGACAACATTTGATTACAATGTTGACCATCATCATCTTCATATGTCTATCATCACTTTCACTTAAACCACATTGAAAGTTGACATAAACAAGATGAAAGTTGATTTGAAGATGAAGATGATACGTTCAATTTAAAATGGGTAGTAACTGATAGGGTTAACTGCCCTTGGGATTAACTGGATTAGAGTTGATGATTAAAGTTAGAGTCAATTGTTCACGGTTAGTGAACAATTAAGTTTTTTTTTCTTCATTTTTACTCTTAATGTTAATCTCAATGGCAAAGTAAAAGTCATTTACAGGTATGAAGATGAAACGAGTTACCTTCATTTTGAAACAATGTTTTTAAATCATTTCCTCGTCATCATCATAATTTTGACACGTTATCATCATTAATTATTGTTTAATCTCCATCAGTTGATTGGTAATTAATGTGATCATCTCATTTTCAAATACACTTTCATTTGTGTTATATGTTTATTGTGATTTTCATTTGTGATTGTTATTGGATTATCCTGATTGTCCGGTAATTATTAATATGTTTTTTGTTTGTTGACCAGTTCAATTTGTTTATTGTTTACCTTGTAGATGGAAATGTATTGACAGTTAATTGTTGTAATTATGATGAAGAGCTGAAGCCAAATGAAAACTACGTATCAGCAGCATTAATTGTTAGACATTGACAATAATCACCATTAGAATCATGATCATCATCGTTGTTACTTATGATGATTACAATTAAGCCATTTTCATGGTTTCATTGACTTGATCTTTAACAGTGAAAAGTTAACATTGAGACGAAAACAATTAATTTTATAGACATAACAATCTAGTTATTTCAAGAGTAATGATGATGAATCTTTATCATCATCATCATCATTATAATCACGATCATTATGATGATCACTTTTGAGACTTAGGTGCTCTATTTAACATGATTTTTCAGATAATTTCATTCAGAATAATCAAGAAAAGAAAAGGATAAAGATTCAGAAGCTAAGAAAAAACTGAAAATCATTAACTATAAGAAGAAGAGGAAATTAACCTGAAAGATGATGATGAGGATGAAGATGAAGATGAAGATTAACCCTACCCTTGATCTATTACATGGCTGTTGAAATTTTCATTTTAAAACTCATAACCTGTTAACCAGTTAGTTAATTAACTATAATTAAGGTCATTTTGAAGTAAATTGTGATCACACTGAAAGAGAGTATCTTTAACCATCTAATTGACTTTGTATCATTTGTTATTGATCAGTTGATTATTCGTAATTAACAATATTTACTCGTTATTTTCAATTCCATTTCTGAATATCATATACATCATGTATTTCATTTTAAGGTCATGGTCGTCATTCTGTTTACCTTATCAATTTAATCATTCCCATTATCACAATTACCGTTTAATTGATGTTTCTGTTACATTTCCTATCTATGATTGTTTGTTAATTTATCTGATTGTTCAGTTAACAACAGTTATATGAATAAGAGAACACTAATTATACGTGTTTGATTTGAATTACATTCTATTGTTATTTTTGATATTCTAATTCAATAAAACTTTAACATTAATCTGTTAATAGTAAGTAGCTAATTCTGTTCCTGGTTAGTGATGGATTAAGGATTAATTTGTTAATTGTTAGTCGATTGCAAGCTCATGTTATTAGTGTAAGTCAATCATTTATGTTTACAGGGTGATTTGACCATAGGTGCCGGCGTTTGATTGTTAATAACTTTTTTATTTCTACGATTTTTTTATCAAGAAGTATAGCAAATGAAAGAACAAAGTCTAATTAGAAAGATAAATGTGATTTAAAAAGTTATGACTTTTGTCCCTTTTTAGAAATTCGATTATCCTGGACGATGTTTTTTAAATTTTCTGTATGAATAAGAGTTTAGAATTTTAAAACCAGAATTTGAGCTCAGATTTTAATTGCACATTATAGCTCAGTTCATTAGCTACAGCTCTGTATAAAAAAATCCTATTAGCATCTTTAACTTAGAAGATATTGACCGATACAATAAAGCCTACTAAAATGCCCAAATATCTGATAGTTTTCACTATGGTAAAACACAGCATAGGATTTGGTGTTTTCAGGACAGTTCGAATTTCTGAAAAGGGACAAAAGTCATAACTTTTTAAATCCATTTATCTTTCTAATTAGACTTTGCTCTTTCATTTGCTATACTTCTTGATAAAAAAATCGTAGAAATAAAAAAGTTATTAACAATCAAACGCCGGCACCTATGGTCAAATCACCCTGTATATTATTTAATCAGTTCGTCTTTATGTTTGTGGATCACTTTGGTCACTGTGGTAATTAGTTAATCAGTTAACAATTAAAGGTACATTAAATTACACTTTCAAATCTGAACAGATTGAACAATTAGTCGATTTTAATTGCAATTAGTCAAACTTTAAGATGAATGAGCCTCTGGAGGGATTGAATCAAGAATAAGATTCAAATTCTGACCAAAGTTGATGACTTACCCTTTTTTTTTTGGCTCCTTTATGATTATCCATCATAACTGAATTTAATTATTAATTGAAGACATTAATTAACAACATGTAGTTGTAAAAATGTACTTTAAACACTTGATTGTTTGATTAACAATCAATTAATTAAAGTTGAACATCAAGTTGTTTTTTTTTCTTGTTTTCTCATCAAAAATTTTCCCTCCAAAAATATACCAGGGACTTAACACTAATCTCAAGTGATTAATTAATTGTTACCTTTTAATTGAATCATTAAATAGGGAAAAACAATTTTATTTATACATATTGATTAACCTTAAATTGTTAATGATTTAATTAAATCTCTACAATCTTAATTATAATCTTTGTGATCGATTGAATTTGAATGGGATTTTTTTCAACATTCACCTTTAAGGCTTGATCATGTTTCTTAATTGTTGCTATTTTTAATTAAGTAAACGTGTTGCGAATCAATGATTAGTATGATTAATTTATTAATTGTTTAATCTACTAATGAATAATTAACTAACTCTATTACTTGTAACAATTTTCCTTTTCTTAATTGTTATTTTTATGTAATCATTTAAATTACATGTAAAAGTTTACAAAACGATTAACCTGAAATTGAGCTAATTTTCATCTTACAATAAAGTTAATTGTTGCCACAATTAAATGTCAACTACTGTCAGTTTTATATAAACTAGATCATCAATTGTATCATAACATTAAATTAGTTAAAGAAATAATTAATTCTCATGATTAATGATAATCAAGAAATCAACTGAATCACAGTGACTTTGTTGATTTGTTAATTTACTACAATTAAATTACAATTTGCTTCATCATTATTATTATCACTTTTGATTACAATCTATTCTTCCTATTTATGATTAATCAATTAATTGTATCATCAACAATTAATAAAAAAAAATGGAATCAGGTCAATTCAGGAAAATCACAATTTCTTTGGGTCTTTTTTTTTCCTACTCATCATCAACACCGATTATTAATTGTAATCGAGAAGGTAAATCAAACTAAATTACGGAAGTTAATAACCAATAGTTGATTGTTGTTTACAATGACAGAGCATCTTATCATGATTACAATTAGTTAATTTCAATTGTTTCATTTCCTTCCTGATTGGTATCAACACCTTTTTCACGTTGCTGTTAATCATTTTTCAATCACAATTTAAATTTGATTGTTTATCATCAATATATCCAATCACCATAATCAACAACAACAATAAGTATTATTTATTACTTACAATCAACAACTATTACACCATTAGTTTAATATTAATGGTGTAATAATAATACAACAATTTATGCAACAATTTAAATTCTTATCCCTTTTTTTTATTGATAACAATGGGCCAACAACACAAGGGTGAGGTTGATGATAACAATTAAAGGCCATCTTGATCATTATTATTATTACAATTAACCATCATCATTTAACTCCTCCATCCTAATCATGATAACAATTAACAATCTATTATCATCAGTATAGTAATTGTTATTAAAATCATTTTTTCTTATTAATCATTCACTGTTATGGTCGAGTTAATTTACTTAAAATTAAATTGCTGACGATGTTACTATTAAATTATGATAAGAATGCTTTTCTTACAGCAATTTATTAATTGTGATGATGATGATGATATACTTAGCTCTCTCTCTCTCTCTCTCTCTCTCCTCCCCAGGGTGTGACCATCAAGGTGCAAATCCGTCAACCGTTTATTGTTTTAATCATGATGATTTTTATTATTGTGATGATGATACAATAAACAGAGTTTAATTTGTTTCTTGATTCTGCTTTGAATAGTTGATTTAAATTGTTGTTTTGCTGTCCACCGGCTTGACCATCATCAAGCCTCTCACTTAAGTCTCCCTCTATTATTATCTTTTGGTCATCTCTTAATTGTCTACAATGATTGTGTGTGTCCAGTTTGTTGACATTTAATGTGTTTGTTTATTTGCTGCTTTTTAATTTAGTGTCTCCATCATGTTGATACTTAATTAACATGGTTCATTTTTATTCAAGTCTTGTTATTCACGAGGTTGGACAATTTACTAATTGTTGTGTTTACGCATTTTTCCCTCTTTCCTTATATTTCCTACCTGTTGATTTGATTGTTTTCTTTTTTTACTTTTATATTTTTACTTTTTTTTTCTAATTGTCATTTTGTATTTTCTCTTTAACTTTTGTTGATTGTAGATGAGAGTTAAATGGAATCGTAATTTAGATGGAAACACAATTATCGATTCAAATGAACCATTATCTGATTACAAAGAAGGAAAAACAAGTGATTCTATTGAAAACGATTCTAAATTGTCATCTAAATCATCGTCAACGATACCCATGAGATCGCGAAATCGTGATAATAGTAAATCTAATCGTGGATGTAATTTAATCTTTGGTCCGACTCGAAAATCAACTTCTCGATCAACTTCAAGCTCTACAACACCATCAACAATTTCCAGTTCATCATCAACCTCATCTCGATCATCATCATCTCCACCACCAACATCAAAAAATCGTGAAAAATCAACATCACCAAGTCGACCAATATCCCAAGGTGCAAGTGATTCAGATCGTACAACCATGACAAAGCTTAGTAACTTTCTTGGTATATTTAAATTAACTCCTTCCTCACCTTCATCAACCAATGGTTCAATTAAAGGTTCATCTAAATCATCCTCAACCCAACCAACCTCAATCAAAGTGGTTCGCAGATCAAAAAGTGGATACGAAAGTGATGGACTTTTCCGAACTGATTCTCGACGTCGACGTCGAGCCAATAACTTATTACAACGAAACTCGGACATTCGACGTTCTTGGAATGCTGCAATGACCGGTGTTAGGCCCGATGTTAGTGTTCGAGGGGCTTGGTTACGTCCAGGTAGTCCAAACTATCGCCCAAATCAAGGAGGTGAAGGTAACTACCGATCAATTTCACCTTCAATCTTAGGTAGTAATAGTAACGATAGTGCTAACAGTAGGCATACTAATCAACAAGGAGGAGTTAATTTAAATGGTTCTAATGGATCTCGGCCTTCGTCTTCTTTAGACGGTTCAGGTCATTTTGCAAACTCGTGTAAAGTCAATTCGATGCCAGCACCGATTGTAACTCTACCTGAATGCTGCCTAGAAGGATCTGACTGTGAAAGTGGTGAAAATATTGTTACCCTTGGTGGAGGTGACGGTGGATATGATTCAAAATCGTCCTCTAAACCAGGATCACCCTCAGAAATTGATCTTGAGATTCATCATCATCATTATCAACACAACGGTCACTCTAATGGTTGTGATGAAGTTGATCTAGTTTCAAATAATATTGGTGATAAAATTCAGCATCAAAACAACAACAATCATGTCAATAATAATAATAATAAACAAAATGGTTCCATAGTAAGACCAACTGGACCACCTCCACCACCACCAACATCATCAACCTCAGTCTCCTATGACGGGTCACTCAGGTCAGTTGATGATGTTTTCATTCAAGTTCAAATAACAGCATCTTCAAAAAAATCACAATCACCTGAGAAACAATTGACAAAGACAGTAAACAATGGCCGATTACCCAGTAAACATAATTACCAGCAATCGACAAAAAATGATGAAATTATTCTTGATGAAAGTGACCGTCCACTTAGTCCAATCTATGAATCGTGCACCGAGAAGGTCAGTTACGAGGAAAGTATTTCACCGACTGGTTCATTATCCGAGTCTCGAATCGATTCTCGGTCAAGTGGTGAAGTTGAAGAGGAAGATGATGTTAACACTCTTCTTACCCTTCGACCTCCATCGTCAAATGCTGGGTCATCATCTTCAACGGAAATGACCTTAAGTGAAGACGGTGGCTTAGGTGAGTCTGTTTCTTATGACGCTTCTTCTGGTTGCTCATGGGAAACATCATCAATCCTCACGGGGTCAGTTTGCCTTTCACCGGACGGAACAGCTAATCACCATGATGCTAATAGACACGAAAATAATCACGGTGAAAGTGTAAGTGAAAGGATGTCACCTTCGCCCACTTGCCCAATAATATCAACATCAACACCTCATCATAATCATCACTCATCATCATCATCATCTTTTCATCATGCAACTTCACCAATCATGATCTCAGATCCGGTGTTTAATCATCCTCATCCTCATCATCATCTTGTTAACTGTAACAATAGTAAACAAAGTAACACAAATGATGAATCTTACCTTTATGAACCTCGAATGTCAGAGGTGATCAAGGTTACTGTTAAAAAAGCTGAAATACCGGAAGTGGTCACTTTACGTTCAGAAGATATCATTGATTTAGATACAACGGGCTCACTTGATGGATCACCATCATCTCCATCATCTTCATCTTCCTTTTCATCTTCATCAATTTCTAGTGTTCAAAGGATTCACACCAATGGTAGGAAAGGAAATCGAACTGGTATTTTAAAAGATTCTAATTGTCCAAATTCAAATGGTTTACATAATTGTCGCAGTTCAACTCCAAAGAAAGTTCATTTCGCTGAATCAGCCAAAATCCGAACAACAACAACAACAATTAACAATAATAGTGAACTTAATCATCTTCAACAATCAGCTAATTATGATTCAAGATCATCTCCTTTACCACAATCAATCTCACCTTTAACCGATTGTACCAATGGTAATCAGTTATCTTGTAAACCTGATAAATCAAACAAATTAATTAGCAACAATAATAACAATGAGACAACAATTACCACTTCGAGTACGGTAACAATTAAGAAACCATTGTTATCATCAACATCATCACGTCGATTGTTCCAGTCATCTTTAAACCAAAGTAATTTTATTCGAAATCATTCTAATTAAGTTTAATTTAGTCTAATTCACCTTCCAACAATTAATATAATTATTTACCCTTGTATCTTGTTTTCGTTGCAAATGATAGTCAGTTAATTACAATATAATTTAGATTTTGCTGCTTTTTGTTTCATTGCTAATCAGCAATTTATGTTAACTAATCAACAGATAATATATATTTTTTGACGCTTTTAGCAATAATAATCATCTTCATCTCTCCTTCCTCTCAGTTTTTCCTCTTTTTCAATTGTTAATTAATCAACAATTAAGAAACTAATTGGCTAATTTTGTATATGTGGTGTTTCCTTGTTTAGATACTTGATTAATCCTCAATTAATCCTGTCTCTGTCTCTCTCTATCCAGTAACTCACTTGGCTTCACTTTAATCACAATTGATTAATCACAACAATTAGCTAATATTTTCTGAAAAAAGTTCAATACCAATGAAACCCGACAATCCAAATGAAAAGTTAATATCGTTTCCTTTACGTAATGAAAACTTAATCCCAAAGTCCAAATAACATTGAGAATAATTTTATCTTATTGATTCTATTAATTTAATTATCCAACCATTTGAAATGTTACAATCATCAGTTAAATCCCTTGATTAACTTTGATTAGTTTAACATCCAGATCACAATCAATTTCAATCTCTATTCTTGAATCTTTCCCCTGGTTCCAATAAAACATTGATTGATGAATTGACAAGTAATAATCAATTGATTTGACAGCCACACAAGTAAACACCACACTTTTTTTACCAATAATCTTGATTGTCCTGTAAAAAAAATACAAACCAAAAAAATCAGAACTTAATTGTTAGCAGAAAAAAAAATAATATCGATAATAACAAATTCAATCAAATTTCATTTCAAAGAGATTTGATTGAATACAGATATGAAATTATATTCGTTACATTGATTGTTTACATGAAGAGAATGATTTTTTTACCTCATCAACAATTTCCATTTGATTATTATCATTGTTTTCCAACAGCTAATTAACACCTTTACAATTAACTTTCTCGAGATAATCATCATTGAACATGAAACGGTTAATCCATTGAATCACAATTAACTCGAATCTCTTATAATCCACCAAAGAAGCAAATATGTTAATCCAAATTTCGTCTTCCATTGTGATACCTTCATGTTGCTTTCATCGTCTCTACAAATGATATTTTATCCCAAAATAAACATTAGTTGTTGAGCTTAACACTTTAATCTCCTTAATCCCTAACAATTAAATCAAACAATTTCTGTTAACCAAAATCAAACGATTACATAAAAAAAACTAATTGTCCATCATAATTGTTTACCATTAATTTTGTTCATCTTTTTATTAACGCGCCAATTTTAACCCTTTTTGTTTTCCCTTGTAATCGGTAATTTTTGATTCTCAAATGGTTTTCTAATTGTCAACCTTTTTCGCCTACTAATCAAATTAATTAATTCTCGTGTTAATCATCAACATCACCATAATCTCATCTGTTATTTGTTAACTGTCTTCATTGGGATAATCTTTGTCTTGGTTAATCCATTGGTTTCGTCATCTTTGTTTATCTCTGGAAAATAATATTCAATTGCCTTCACCTTTGCTAATCAACTGAATTAAGAGTTGATTAACTCGTAATCTCAACTAATCATGTTTGTGTTTCTTTGGTTTTAATTGTAAATGATGAGGTTATGAAAATAATCTCGGATTAACATGTAGCTCAGATGCTTTTTCTTACAACAATTACAACGTTTTCCATTAATTGTCCTCCTTCGTGTCTTCTTAATACTTGGGCCTTATTCTTGTCTGTTGATCATATTAAAAGACAGTAACAATTAACTGATGGTCATTTCACCTCAACAATTGACCAAGTCAAAAAAGTGGTTCCTGGTTAACAATTAGCTAACCTGACATGACAAAAAACAACCTTCTTCCTACTACTACAAATCATTTTAACATTTCCGTTGGTTTCCTATTATTAAATTGTCATTTTCTGTTAACAATTAACTTATCATCATTATCATCATCTTATACCTGTTTAATTATTCACTGTCTTATATCTGTTTAAATGTCTCAACTTAATCCACTAACTTTTGATTAACTTACTACCAATTCCCTGACTGATTAAGATGATCACCAGAAATCCTCATGATTATTATCGTTCAAATCGCAATGTCCATTCAACCATCAGATTTAATTGAACGTTTAACTTTCGTCGACGAAACTGTGACCGACTAACTTTTTTCGTGTCGATTGTGTCACAATCCCAATCGCTTTCGATTCTAATTGTCAAATTGGTCTTTAACTCTCACTCTTTTTTTTCCTAATCCTAATCAACGACTCCAATTAACACCATGAATGAATACAATGGAAAAAAAGAGAGATTGATGAAAAGAGCACAATAGTATTACTAACCTTTGACCTGAGATTTTTTTCTCAAAACTAAATTAACCTTTTTGTTGCTAAATTGTTTTGATAAAATCACTTGAAGAAAAACAATTGAGAGGAAAGGGAAATACGAAGCTTTGTTTTTCGCTGTAGATTTAATTGTAGAGCATTACAAATGTAAACTAATTATATTCCTTTTCTTAATTGTGACGATAATTGTAATCGAATGAGTTAATTTAATCTCTTTTTCTATTCTCCTCTCTCTCTCCTCTCTCTCTCTCTCTCTCTCTCTCTCTCTCTCTCTTTCTTACCTGCTTCCATCTTTGATTTACTTCACCTTGTTCTTGGTTATAACTCTCTACCTTTCTCAACATGATCTCTACCCAAATGATGATTAACCTGATTAATTGGCGATGTATAAATCAAATGGATGACGAAACTAAATTATCCTAGATGATTCTGATGAAACAACACCAAGAATAAATTTGGTTCCAGTTAATGGCAAGAAAGAAGCTCCATCAATATCATCCGGTGATTATTCAAGTGAACAAATTATTTCATCAACAACCCAAGTTGATCCGGAATCATTTCACTTATCAAACCAATCATCACCAATATCATCAGCATCATTACCAGCAGCACCATCATCATCCTCATCCTCATCATCACCATTATTATCATCTTCATTATCTGTAAAAAGTCAAGCTCGTTTCTTTGAAAGTATGGCTGCTGAAAGTAAAGCCAATGGTGGATTGAGAGGATTAAAAGGAGAAAGATTAACATCAAAAGCAATTAAACCAGTTGCTACTGTTGATAATAATGATGATGATACTTTACCTTACAATCAAATTAACCAAGAAAAAGAGGATAAAGATGATGAAAGACAAAATATTAACAGTAAAAGTCAAACGAGTAAATCACTAATCCATAACGTTTCCACCATTAACTGTACCGGGTCGGTTGAGCATTCACTTAACCAGAACCTCTCAGCTAATAATACAGTTTATGTATCTACTGTCACTTCAACCTCCACTTCAACCTCAACACCAACAGGTAGTAAAAATAATCTTAATGGTGCCAATAGTGGATTCCCTTATTTAAGTCGTGAGCTTGATGCTCATCGTAAATTATCAGCTCTTCATCAGAGGAAATTAACAATTGCTCGGGAAGAATCAGCTCGATCATCATTAATCATCCAAGGATTGGGAATTGTTGTTCAACGTTTAACTCAACAATTGGATAATCTAAATGGACCCACACTGAGGTCACAATTGTCTCAAGTACAAAATAACTTTAATCAACTTGAAGCTTCATTTAATAGTCAAGAGGAAGCTTTAAAATCATTACAAGTTAAATATTCACGGGATGAAAGTCAACTTCGAGAAGAGGTTAACAAATTGACCTCAGAATTGGCTGATGAGGAGAGGAGACATGAACGGGAAAAAGCTCATCTAATTAATTCATTTGAATTAGAACTGGATGCTGCAAGGAAACAATTTGATCAGGAATTAAATTCACTTGAACAAGTTAAAGATGAGCTTAAATGTTTGGTTGATTCACTTAAATCTGAATTAAGGGCTAAAGTAAATGAGATGAATCAAGTTAACAATCAAATGGTTTCAATGGAAATTCATTCACGACAAGAACGAAATGGTCAAGCTCGTCGGGTCGAGGAACGAATAACTTTCATGAGTAAAGAGATTCAAAGTTTAAAAGATGTTCTCGAATTGAAAGAGAAAGAGTTGAAAAAACTTCGAAGTCAAGCTGAAAGAGATGAGAATTTAAATCGTGATCTGATTCGAGCTCAATCAACAATAGAAGCTCTTAGACAACGATTAGAACAATTGGAAATCGATCGAGAAAGGCAAACAGATTCGATGAACAAACTAAAAGCCGAAAATGAAGCTTTGATCGGTGAAATGATTCGAGATCAACGGGAAATGGATAAACTGGCCTTGAGAAAAGAGGAGCTCGAATATACTTTGTACAATATGGTCACAATCAGTGGAGATGACGATAGATTCAATAACAATTCATCACAATTAAGCTACGATAATAATGTTTCCTATTCAAGTGAAATTGTTAATCATCATCGCGAACCTTTAATTGTTAATGGTTCTTACAATCATCATGCTGATTGTGATGGTGATGTGATAATTGATGAGGATAAAATCAAAGAGATGAAAAGAAAACGTCAAATAATTACTAACAATCAACAATTAAGATCAACACTAATTTCATCATCTTCATCGCGATCAACTAATTATCAACAATTTGATTCACCTGTTTCCAGTTCAACGTCAATAAGAATTGAGAAAAATATTTCGCCACCTGATTGTTACAATAATCAATCAACAATTTAACGAAAATGATTAAAAATCTGATGGTTGGAGTTACAATGATTCCAGTTAAATTATTCTGATTATGAAAATCATCTCGATTCTAATGATGAATCGATGATCATTTCAACCATTTTCTAGTCTTCATGATTATTTGTTAATCATCAACAAGATTAAAAGCAAATTAATTAGTTTTACAACAATTGAAACACAGAATTTTATCAATATTTATAAATATAATTATAACGAACTTATTAAAATATTTTATCCTAATAAATTTTACTAATTATCTGATTGTTTATCACGATTCCTTGAAACTAAACTACACAGCAATTAAAACTGATTAAATTGTTGCGAACCGAAAACTGGACCAATGATAAGTTAATTGTGGTAAAAATGAATAACAACATTTGTAAATACAAATGAACGATTAGCATTTCACTTGATTTGGTTTTCAGTTGATTGAAATGATATAATCAGGACGTTGGTTGATTGAGACAAAATTTTGTTAATTATTTGGTATAAATCATAACGTTAATTTTTGACTTTTTTTTTGATGATGAAAAGTTGTAATGGTTAATCAAATTTTCTTCTCTCCCATATCTTCTATTGAATCTTCATCGATTTCAGGCCATTTATCGGTCATTATATCAAATAGATCATCTTTAACATCTCCTTGGATAACAACTTCGTTACCGGTAACTGAAGATCCACAAGCAAATTTAGCGGCGAAAAATTTAGAAGCTTCTTTCAGATCAATTTCGTAGGTTGTCAGTCCACTAACGATGGTCACGTATTTCTTTTTACCTCGATTCGCCCTCCAAAGGCCAATATGTCGGTCAACTTCAGCCTTTTTCTTTACTTTAACCATTCCTTTTCCTCCACGTTTTTGTCGACCCGATTTTTTACCATCTATTGGAGAAAAAAGAAAATTGGAAAAGAAAGTCAGAGTTAATGACAAAGAAAGAAAATCATCATAATGAGTAACAATTAGAAAGAAAGAGTTAACAAGACAAACAATTAGTGAGGAAAAAAGGAAAATACAGAAGCAAAAAATCCATTGAAGAGAAGAGAAAAGCTTTGTTATTGTTGACACTTTTACCTAATAACAAAGGCTAAGAAATTTGTGACAATAAGTGAAAGGTAAGAGGTGATACATTACCTTCACCTTTATCATCTCCACCGGCCTCAGAGATTCCCAGTAATTTTTCAAATTCATCAGGTAAATTTTTCTCCAACCAAATTTTACATTTCTCAAAATCAGGAAAATAAGAACAATATTCAATTGGTAAACCACATTCACCACAATAAGAAACTCTTATTGGAAAACTAGTCTCCTTGTAACGTTCAACAAAATTAGGATGAGGTTGCATGTTAACCAATCCAAATTAAATAAACACTAATCAAGACAATCTTTTTAAATCACAATCAATAATAAAGAAAAAGAAAATTTCTTTCAAAAAATTAACAATTAAAGAGAAAATACAAGAGAGACAAAAGTCTCCACCAGATGTCACCCAAACGAAGAATAGAACAAAAGATTAATTGGTAAATTCGCCGCTAGATGTTACCACCTTGTTAATAGAATTTGAAGAAAAAAAAATCTTTTCTCTTTTCCATGTTCACCTGTATTCGTTTACACCTATGGTATAAATTCAATGGTTGGAATCGTAGTTTTTTCTGTGACACGTTAAGAGAGAAAAGAGAGTAAGAGAGAGAAAGAGAGAGAGAAAGAAAGAGAGATTAAAGGAAAACTCAATCTTTCTTTCCCATAGATAAACAGTTAGAATGTGAAACATTAAATATTAGTTCAATTTCCTGATAAAATTTATGAGAGTAAAAAAATGTATCCAAAGTGAAACCAATCAACTTTTTCTCTCTCTCTCTTTTGTCCCTAATCATCTTTAACCATCTTAAATTGTTAATTGTATTGAAAATTCAATTAATCACCTAATTGATTGTGTCTGTGTTTTCACCTTTAATTGTTCAAATTTAATCTCACCATCAATCACAAAACCTGTTAACCGTTCACCTCTTATGGTTATCACATGGACAATGTTTTCCTTTGGCGTTTTTCTTGTTATTGTTTAACTTTTTTGGACATTTGCAACTGTTTCACTTTTCAAGGTTCATCATTTGGTTTGTTAATTGTTACATTTTATCCTTGATTACGGTAACATGGATTCGTTGGACCTGAGTAATCTATCGGCTGAAGAATATGAGAAAATCATGACTGTCATGAAACGAGATCAAATGTTGAGGAAACAAGAGGAACAACGGATTCTGTAAGTTAATCATTTCACCTTATTTTTTTTCCTCCATTTAATTAATTTGCTTCTCAAATCAACTTCCATTAATTAACCGAAGAAAAAAAAGTTAACCCCCTTTTTTTGTCATCTCTCTGATTCTAACTTGTTGATTAAAATGACATAATATTTACAGTCGTTACAGTTAATTGTTATGACGTATCTTAAAGATTTGATTAGAAATTCATTTTACAATTAAATGAGTTTACTTTTTCAAGGGTAACCCTCAACCTTTCAGATTAGACTTGTTATTGTAATTATGAATTTATTGTGAAACCTCAAACAATTAACTATAACTCTTGCTTTGCTTTTCCCATCAAAAATATGATTATAAAAATTGAATTGCTGCTATTAAAATATTAATTGTAACTTTTTCCTTTGTTGGTTAATTACATTGGATAGTAGGAAAAAATATTAGTTTATAGTTACAATAATAAACAATACGAAAGATCAACAATCAACTAAATTGATTACAATTATAACCTAAGGTTAGATATTTACAATTTTTCTCATTAATATTAACAATTAGGCAATTGAAAATATCTAATGAAAGGTAATCGATTTTCATACGATGTTAAAACTTAACATATATATAAAAAACAAATGATTAATTTCATCAATCATGTTAATCATTAATATAATTCAAAGTTATAAGTTAATTGTAAAATGTTTATGACATAACAATTGATCTGATAACTCAAATCAAACAGGTTGTAAAAGCAAGTTTCCAATTAATGAACAATTAAATTGTATTATGTGATTATATGTATGTTTATATATTAATAGTGATCATGTAAATCTATTTAAATCCCAATTTAATTTAATGAGAAAATTGTATTTCCAGGTGAATCAGAATCAACATGATAAATGAACTTGAAAATTGAATGAAAGAGTAACAAAAGGAATCTCTATCTCTTAACATTGTCAATGATTGTGTTTACATAAAAGTTTCATGTTATCAATCAATTTTATAACATTAACTTAAAGAAGATGCTGTTTATCCTCCTCTCTCTCTCTCTCTCCATCCTACACCCACTCTCCATTCCCACTCTCACTCCCACTTGCACCTCCATCGTCATCACCATGATAAACAACGAACTGATTGAATGGTAATACAAACCATTACTCCAACAATACGAATGGAATGAGATGAGGATGTTATTGGAATGAAAACAAAAAGAGATAATCTATTTTTATCCGAAAAAGTTTTCACTTCTTTAGCTCATCATCTTTCATGAGGTTTCATTGTTTTCTTGAATATATTAGGGGTTTCCAAAAGTCTTGTGCCTGACTATGTTTTATTGTAGATAGAACCAAAATTTGAGTGGCAAATTAATGCTCATAGATTTTGATCATAGAAATGAGTTTTCATAAAATCAGCGATTCAATTTATTTTGAGGTCAAATTAGGTCAAATACGAGTTTTCAATGAATTTTAACATGAAATCAGATTGAAAGGTAAAACAGTTGAAAACTTTAACTTTTTCAATCAAATTTGAATATTTCGCTTAATTTTGTTTTTATTCACAATTTAAAATGATTTCAAATGCCAAAATGCTAGCAATGCTTATGATAAAAATTCTGAATTTTTGAATGAATTGTCCATGAAATCGTGATTTATCTGCAAAATAGCGGTTTTCGACCTAATTTGACCTCAAAATAAATTGAATCGCTCGATTTTTATGAAAACTCATTTTCTATGATCAAAATCTATGAGCATTAATTTGCTACTCAAATTTTGGTTCTATCTACAATAAAACATAGTCAGGCACAAGACTTTTGGAAACCCCTAATACTAGAGTTTTATCAAGGAAACTGCAAGTTTAATATCTTTTGATAATTTTAATTTGGTTAACAATTCTTACTGATATTTGATCATGTTAACTCTTGAACTTAAATTTATTCTGTGTTGATCATTGTGATCGTTGTTATTAAACAATCAAGTCACGTTCAAGAAGTCAAAATTTTCTGTCTGATTTCATGGGAGCAAGAAAATTCTTGTTCCTTCGCTCATTTATCTTTCTTTTTGTTAACCATTATACTGATGATGATCATGTTTTTCATGGAGTTGATTTGATAGAAATGAACTTTTAAAAATGATGAAGGAAAATGAAAGTTCATTGAAAGATATTCATTTAATATAACAACACATTGAAAATCCCATTAACTCTCTTGGAGTTTTATTTATCAATTCTTATTATATTATTTTCCATTAGGTTATTATGATTCAGAAAACATACTCATATTCATCATTTACTTTAAGATTCTTAAAATTTCATCTGATACGCTCCATCCGATAACCTCAAGCTGATCATCATCACCCTGACAATCAACAGTCTAGTTCTGGTTATTATTATTATTACTATTGTTGCTCATTGTGATTATGATGGAAAAATAATTTTCTCTCCAAATATATTAAATGATAATAACAGGGTACACTTAGAGTTTAACCTTCCATCAGTATTCTGTATTAGCAGAATTCATTTTCCACTCTATCATCAAAAAGATTAACCTGCATGGAAAAAATTCTTCTATTACATTTATCAAGAGAAAGAGAAAGAGAGAAAGAGAGAGAGAGAGAGAGAGAGAGAGAGAGAGAGAGAGAGAATAGGAGAAAGGTAATACGAAAGAGAATGAAAGTTCTTGACCTAATTTTGAATGTGACTTTATTCCTCCTCCATTGGAAGGGAGGAGAAAACGAGAGAGAAAAGATGATGAAAACCATGGTTGATAATCAAATTACATCTTAAAGAGCATGTAAAAGAAAAGAATGATGGAAATGATGATGAATAAAGAAAAAAAAGAAAGTAATAAAAAGAAAACATTATTGTTATATTGTTATCACTTGGAAGGAAACTTGTTGATTGTTAGAAATTCATTCCACCACCACCACCATCATGATCATCATGTAAACTGAATTACGCCTGAACAATTATCAATTTTAGATGTAACGGTTTACTCCTTCGTCTTTTTGGAAGTTGCTGACTGAATTGGTAAGAAAAACTGTGAGCTCTTCATGAAGATTTCAGCGTTTTTTTTCATGAATCTCCACCCTATCAATCTGGATGACATTTTTAGTTTATTTTTCTGCCAAAAAAACACTCATGAAGCTAAAATGGTTATTCTTTTGCTACTTTTTCCTTGGTATCGCTTCTGCAAACTATAATCAACTCTAATTACCTTTGAGAATCAGACTCATCTCTGTGATGAACGAAAAAAAAAACAAGAGGTTCATCTTCTCTATATTGCTTCAGGGAATAACAAGAATGATTATGAGGATAAAAATGAACATGAGTAAAAACAGAATTATTTGAATTACCTTTATCATTGATCTGAGTTATTCTGACGTTAACCTTGTGCATTCATCTTGTTACCAGGTTAAGGTTTTGAACAAGAGTAAAATATGGTGATCACCAAGATGATAATCATCATGGTGATGATACTTAGATGACCCAAATGATGAAAATTTATATTTTTCATCCTTATCTCAATCTTCATCATCATAATTTCATCCTCTTTCTTTTCATGGTAACAAGAAATATAATATCATGAATAAAATCCTTTTACCTTGAAAAATTTTTCCTCCTATTAGTTGGATATTTTGAATTTGTTTACAATTTAAATTCAATTCAATCTAAGAGACAATATTAAATCAATTCCAACTATCGAATTGATTAAACTTTTTTATTACATTTACTTTAGTTTCTCAATTTATAGATTTTCCTTCAATTATATTATCTGATCAGTGATATATAATTTAAGTAATAATACTAATAATAATGATACCCGAATGCTAATGATAAGTAGATGATAATTATTTTGATAAACTCATTTGAAGATGATTATGTTTACTATTAATTTATCATTATTGTGAATCACTTTGAATTATGTGAATACAAAATTTGTCTCAATAGAAATGATGAAAACATTTTTTTTTTCTATCAAAGAAAAAGTTCTGACTGAAATGTCAAGAGAGTTTGAAAACTTTTTATACTACCCTAAAATACTCTGAATACTCAATATCTGATTATTCTTCTTGTTCTGTTAATTTCCTTTTCCCCTTATTCTCATGTTCAATCCTACTTTTCAATTCAAATTCTGATTCTGTTTCCATGGAACCAGGAAAACTCTATTCTCAACCACTCGAAATGTTTTCATTATTCAACCAAATAACATTGAAGATTCATTTCATTTCCACATGTAGAGATATCATACTTTTAATATTCCAATTGATGGTGAATTTTATCTTCAAGAACCGTTTTTTCATCATCAACCCCTATTACCTTGAAAATCCTCATGATGGTAATAAAATATAACTGAAACATGAAGAGAGAGAGACACAAATTTGTATCTATTTAGTTTTAAAGAGGGAGGACGAGAAAATTTTCTCATGTTTTTGAAATTTTCAACTCAGTTGAAGAGTTGAAATGAAGATAAACATTAAAAGATGAAGATAAGCAACAATTTACATTTACATCTATTTTGAAGAAGGTGATGAAAACCGTATTGATGATGGAAGAATAAAAAACGATCAACATTTTGGATACAACTTGAGTTTTCACCATAACTACAACATCATTATCCCATCAATCACATAATCGAAATCAGCCTTAGCTATTAGCGTCTCTTCAACCCAATAACAATTTCCTAAGAGTTTTTAATTTCCCTCTTGGTGTTTTTATGTTTTCATCAGCCCTAATTATCACTATTTTAACAAAATTTGAACTTAAAATCTAGAAGCAAAAATGATTATCATGATTAATACCTTATTGTTATCATGTTAAGCTTGTTCATTGTTTTTCATGATAACTTTTCAGCCTCTGTTTACAATTAGTATTAACCATTGTTGATCAACTTTTGATTGTGAGCATTTTTTTCATCCATTTCATGCTAATTTTTGCCTCTATCTTTGGTTATTATTACTTAGATTCACATGAAAAATGATGATAACAATATTAATGTAATAATTATCCTGAAATT